ATTTGATGGGTGTTTTGAGCTGAAACTTTATATACACATTCTAGAGATGCAAAAGACTTATATTAAATCTGAACAAAAGGGGTAACCTAGGTGCCCTTTAAATTACTGTGACGTTTCGGTTTAGGGTTGGGATAGTCGTTAGTAAAATACAATTTATAGGAAATTTAATAAATAGTATAAATAATTCTCATTACCTTCCGGCCGCAGCCATATGTGATCTATAGCTAATTAACCAAGTGGATGGATGATAATAGCCTTCTTAGCCTACTGGTAGGCACATGGGGCTCCTATTACTGATAACCACTGATAACAACCATTCAATCGAGTAATAACATTTAAATAGTGCACTCTTAGGACTGGGTTGCGACAGGACAGACAGTAAAACTATGTGCTAGAGCAAATAAGGGTTCAATCCAAGTGAGAAAGCAAGAGTGAGTGAAGTTAAAAAAAAATACCTTAATTGCAAATCTAAACAGACAAAAATTATCATGCATGGATGATTAGCACAATCAGTACCATTATTCTGAAGATTTAACTGTGGTTTTTGATTAGTAAACAAAGCTCTACAGATATTCTTTGCACGCAGCACAGAGTGTGCGTTGATTGCGTGATTGACTGCTCTGTAAACAGCTGAAATTGTTGGCCAAAAGCAAAGGAGCTGTAAGCAAAGTGTTATGTTTGCTGTTTGTTAAACATCCGCAGGTTAAAGAGGTCTTGAATGTTGATGCTTACCGCAAAGGTCTGTCCGTCTCAATCTCATGTGTCGGTGGATGTGTTGGATTTCCCTCTTCTCATTGTGAGCTTGTTCAGCACCTGTTTCATTATTGGACGCTCTGAAGAGTCCTGTTAGATGAGGGCTGTTTTCAGCTTTAATAATAGCTTTTCTTATACTGGCAGAACATGTTTGTTTCGGCATGCTACATAATTATACAGGCGGCGGTTGATTTCTGGAGCAGAAAAACTGACGTGCTGCCCACAAATAACATAGCCATGCAGGCCTGCCTTCAAAACTGAGGGTGTGAAACAAAATCTCAAGCTAAAAACACAGAGACTCCTGGCATCCAGTTTGAGATGTATTTTGAAATTAGATTTTTTTCAGGGATTCCAAAAGTATTGAATGATATTTTGTGGTTGTAGCTGTGTTAGGTTAGCTCATATGCATTTATTCAGTTGTCTAAAAACCCACCCTGAGCTTTTTAGCTCCCTTTTAGATGCCACCTGAACAAAAGATTTGTTTATGAATTAGACATTACATCCGTCAGTAAAAGTGACAGTAAAGGCATAGAAAATGTTATAAAGAACTCTCTCTCTTTCTCTTTCTCTCTTTCTCAATTCAATTCAATTGACAAACATAACAAATATTACAAATGTATTGCCAAAGCATTTTTTCCCTTCACTTTCTTCAACTGGTAAAGTTTGTTCCTCGCCACTGTTGACATTGTCTCGCTTGGTTTGTGACTTGTGGAGCTGCACATCGATGGATTTGCTCTTGACAGAGGAGCTCTGTCACCCGGGAGGAGCTCGAAGTAGAGCAGCTGCTTCTCCACATTGAGAGAAGTCAGCTGAGGTGGCTCGGGCATCTATTTTGGATGCCTACCTAGGGAGGTGTTCCAGGCATGTCCCACCGGGAGGAGACCTCGGGGAAGACCCAGGACACGCTTGAGGGATTATCTCTTTTGGCTGGCCCAGGAACTCCTCGAGATCCCCCCAGAGGAGCTGGAGGAAGTGTCTGGGGAGATGGAGGTCTAGAGTTCTCTCCTAAGACTGCTGCCCCCGCAACCCGGTCCCGGAGAAGCGGATGAAAATTACATGACATAAATAAAAATAAAGAAATAAAATCTCTTTCAACCCGGTCCCGGAGAAGCGGATGAAAATTACATGACATAAATAAAAATAAAGAAATAAAATCTCTTTCTATCTCTCTCGTTCACTCTCTTTCCCTTACACACACACACACACACACACACACACACACACACACACACACACACACACACACACACACACACACACACACACACACTGTAAAAAAATGCAGGGTTCCATAGAATTTATTCATGTTGTCCCAATACAAATAGATTAAGTTAATTGAACAAATTTAAGTGGATAGAACATAAAATAATATTGTGGAGGTAAGCATGATCGACCACCCAATGAGGGGGGAAGAGCATGCTCAGAGCAGCTCATCAGCAGGCCAATCAGAAATAATAAATAACACCTGTTTATTCTAGTGATTGGGCTAGAGAGACACCCTTCTAAAGGACAAGAGAAGGAGCAGCCGGGAGAGAGGACAGCACACACACACACATGCACACCTTCACGTGTTGTGTGAATATTTAAAAAAAAAAAAACAGTTACTCACCTGATACTGCCGACCCTGTATCCTTTTTCCCACAACAAGATCAAACTTTTCTACAAATATACGCTTTCCAAAAAAATCTCAAGAATTGTTTCAGCTCATTTTAAATAAGTAGTTTGAACACGCAGCAAAATCTTTTTTCTTGAGTGCACACACAAATTTTAGGCATTCATTTATTATACTGATTCACTCAAACCTTATTCAAAACTGATTGATTTCAACATAATTTTTCCAATTTTCTGTGTCACATGGTACTTGTGCTGATTAGCTGCATTATTTTGCTAAATTATTATTGGTGCTCAATCATTGATAATGTTTCTTATCATTATGCAAAACGTTTGCTCTGTAATTTTAAATGGAACCGATACATGATACACTCCATGCAGAGAGAGGTATACATTTTGGTTCTATATCATGGTTTCCACGAAAAATTCCGAACGCAACTGTATACGATTGTACAACATTGATAATAACAATACAGTATGTATATTTTACTGAGTACTATCTCGACATGTTAGAACCAGTTTTGAATCACAGAAATAAATTGCATTTTATATATAAATCACATAGTAAAATATTTCTGGTTCAGCTCTGGCCCACACAACCAGCTGTTGCTTGGTCCACATGCCACAGTGAATTACGGTACATAACTGGACCAAGTCTGACTTCCAGATAAGGGCCAAACATGAACCATATCTGGGCCAAGTCTCATCCAAGTTCATAACCCGTAAAAGGGCCGGACCTGGGCCATATATGTTGGTGTGTCATGACTGCAGTGAAATTGATAAATCCATGAAGCATTGCACTTTAGGTGAGCTATGTTTTTTTTTGTCTCGAAGCGACCTGATTGGTAGATTTTTTTTTCCTTTATTCAAAAATAATAAAAATGTATTTTAAATGTGGGTCAAACTTACATGGCCCACATATCCATTATTCGCATCTGGGCCAAATACTACATTTGATATCTGGCCCAAGTATTGTGTGCGACCTTACGGCCTTAGACGGCGCCACCTCTGCTAAACCCTGGCCATGTTTGGCCCACATGCTACTATATATGCCAGTGCCGGATGAATGCCTGCTGTGCCAGCTTTATGCCAAATCCGGGCCAGAATTATTTGCTACCTAGGAAATATATTTAAGTATATATACAATAAAATATTAATAAAACCTAAAACAACCTTATTCTAAATTTAAATAATATATCACAATTTTACTGTTTTTGTTGTACTTTTATTCAAATAAATGCAGCCTTAGCAGGTCAACATTCATTCATATTCATTTTCAGTGTATAGCTAAGAGGCCAGTGTATGTTTAAATCTCACTGCGGCGCAGCAGAATGATGATGAAAACTGTGTTGATATTTCAGGACTATCAGGAGGCCACACATCTGCAGCAGTTTGTGACGCGTTTCCTTCTGAAGGAGACCACCAGTCAGCTGCACTCTCTTCAGAGCTCACTGGAGTGTGCAATGGAGACCACAGCCGAGCAGACCCGGCAGGAGAGGCAAGTCATTTACAAATACACATTTACAAATAGATGAACATGCAAAATAACTCTCTGTCTACATTACTACAACTTTTCAAGCAACAAATGAATCATACAAAATAAAAAGTGAAATGCTTAAATTTCCTTAAATAATTGCTTAAGAAATGATATAAAAAATAACAAAGCATTTTGGGACTTAAGCTCCAGGAGTTGAAGTAGAGATAGGTAATAGTGAATGTAGACCAGGGGTCACCAATCCCAGACCTGGAGGGCCGGTGTCCCTGCAGGGTTTAGCTCCAACTTGCTTTAACATACCTGCCAGGATGTTTCAAGTATACCTAGTAAGGCCTTGATTAGCTTATTCAGGTGTGTAAAATATGTAGGACACAGGCCCTCCAGGAACAAGTTTGGTGACCCCTGATGTATACATATAATATTTAGAATTATAATACTCACACTCACTAACCTTCAGCTTAGTCCTTGATTTGTTAGGGGTCACAACCGAAAAATGAACCACAAATTACAGTGGCATATGTTTTATGCAGTGGATGCCCTTCCAGCTGCAACCCAGCACTGGGAAACACCCATACACTCTATTATTCACACACACTTATACGCCATGTCCAATTTAGTTCATTCAATTCACCTATAGCGCATGCCTTTGGACTGTGGTGGAACTGGAACACCCGGAGGTAACCCATGTGATCCCTGGGAGAACATGCAAACTCCAGACAGAAATGCCAACCTGCCAAGTCGGGACTATTCAAAATATGAATTATTTTTAATTAATATGATAGTGTTTATAATATTCATCAATGTGGCGACACGGTGGCACAGTAGGTAGTGCTATCGCCTCACAGCAAGAGGATAGCCGGTTCGAGCCCCGGCTGGGTCAGTTGGCATTTCTGTGAGGAGTTTGCATGTTCCCCCCATGTTCGCGTGGGTTTCAAGTCCAAAGACCTGTGGTACAGGTGAACTGGGGTAAGCTAAAATTGTCCGGGGTGTGTGTGTGTGGATAGATGGGAGTGTGTGGGTATTTCCCAGTGGCTGGAAGGGCATCCGCTGCATAAAACATATGCTGGGTAAGTTGGCGGTTTATTCCGCTGTGGCGACCCCAGATGAATAAAAAAGAAAATAAATGAAAGAACATATGTATAACATTTTATTTTTGGCCCACCTAGAATGAGGAATTTACTAGATTTAGGATAACTTTAAGCAAGAGTAAGCAGTGACATAGAAATGTAGAAAATTGTCTAATTTTGATCTCGTCTGTACATAAGATTACTTCACTGACCACATACTGAAAGCATTCACGCTCCCAAAGCACCAGAGGCATTTTTTCTGCACCACCGATCAAAACACAGCATTTCACTCTTGAAAATGCATGCAGATGGCACCTTGTGCACAGACGCAAATGTTTTGGGCACAGACATCTTTGGTACTGAATATCTAAAGCATCAGACGCATTAATTGTTTAATAGTCCAGATGAGCAGTAGACTGATAACTCAAGCCTTAAGTTTTAGTGCAGAAAAAGGACAGATGCCAGCTTAAACCGTCACTGAATCAACAGAATCAAGAGTTAATGTGTATTACAGCTCATTTAGTCTGTGACTCACTGCGTTTGTGTGCAGAGGAGGGTCTTCGTGGCCCACCATGGGGGTCAGATCTTTATAGAGAACACCATTGAGAATGCAAAGCGAGCTGTTTTGTTCCAGCACCTGGATGATTGCATGCTACAGATATCTCTGTGTGTGTGTGTGCGTGGTTGTGTGTATGAGCATGTGAGTATGTGTGTGTGTGCAGCTGTGCCGCTTCGCTCACCTTACGATCTCAAGAAAATGAGCTGGAGCAGCTGGCATAAAGAAATGACGGATGCTGAGGTTGAGCTTTAAAAGAAGCCTTTCTTTTTTTCTTTTTCTGTGTTCTTAAAATCCACACCGGCTCTGATGTAATCAGTCGCATCCTAATTAATTGGTGAATTCAAATTACCTCATTATCGCCTCTGCAGGTGACAGAGTGTGTCTAACGCAATAACTGTGCATCAGTGAAATACACAGCTTTTACTGAAGTTATTTGTAAAAACAGAAGCAATTAAAGACTCTGTTTGAGGTCCCTTAGTTATATTTGTTTTATTTTCATTGAACATTTTTAATATAACAGATTAATAAAGGCTGTTTAAAAAATTGTGCCTTAGTTTATTTTAGTTAATGTGTTAAGTTAACAATAGAGATCTTAAGTGTGGTCTCCTTTCAATCGCTTTACAAATGGATGGATACAAATTGGATGTCTTTGGAAAGATAACAGTAATTTTAAACACAATGTAATAATGTGTTTTTTAATATACACAAACATCGGTCAATTTAAATGTATTTTTTATAGTGTTGTATTGTATTTAATAATTTATTTTGAATGTTATTTTTGCTTAAATATTCTGTACTGTTTGCTGGATTTTGTATAATAATTAAAATATTATATTGAAAAAAAAAAACAATAGAGATCTTATTGTAACAAAAACATTTCACATTATTTTTCAATTGTCAAACTGGATATAATTGTTCATTTTAAATAGAAAGATTAAATCGATTACTGTTTAATCCGACTGTTGCAAATTTAATCATGATTTTGCAGTTTAAGAAAGCATTTATATTGTTATGTGTAAATGTAAATTTGAGCACAATATAAATGTAAAATGGAATAAGTTTACTTTATTAACATGTCTTCATAATATCTCAGTGGAAATAGCTGGGTTCCATCATAATGTAAAATTAATCTTTTCAAAGTGTGCAAAAAAAAATAAAAAATAGGTGTGATTACGTGAAGTTTCACACACTAATTTTCAGAGGAGCATGTGATATAATTGATTGCGGCTGGTCTCTCATCTTTAATCAGCAGTAATCTAATCAGATTGATCCAAGCCTACAATAAATAGACCAATTTTGTCCTACTGCCATATCTTTGTTTTGAAAGAATCCCCCCTTCCACCCTATCTCCTCCTTTTCCTCCTTTTACCAGAGGGAGCTCTCGAGACCTATATGCTTACAGCCCTGGGCTCAATTATCTTCGAGCTCAGTGTTCTCTCCTGGGACAGCATGCCAAACCTGCAAGCAATATCTATGTGTGAACTCTTGAAGTGTATTTTCATTAAGTTGTTAAAGCAGCTGACAGTAGTATTGGTAACCTAGCAACCAACAGTACAAGGCAAGTAGGGGTGCACGGTTCCATTTTTTTTTGGTTCCGATTCTCAACTCCTAATTTTGGAGTCGGTGAAATCGACCATTTACATTCACTTAAAGTAGCGCAAGGATTAAACATGCTGTATAACCTCGCGCTTTACACAATGCTACTGCGTCAATTGGAGCTTTACATTGCGCAGTTCTCCTCTGGTCAGACAAAACCAGCAGTTTAAATGATCTGCAGTAAAACTAAAATTGCTATCAGTCTACACTTTTTTTTTTTTTACAGCATATTGTATAGTTTAGATAATTTAGAAAGTTACATTGCAATCTTGGAGATAGTAAGTTAAAACAGGCACGTGCACACATAGGGCTCAACCTGTGCAGTGCACATGCCCTTTTTAGTCTTGGATAGAAAGTGCCCTTCCAAAATGATCAAAAGTGCCCCCGCGACGCGACACACCCTCCGTCCCGCCCTTCAGTAGGCACACGACAACACACGACAGCGCGCTCAATCCCCCCTCCCCCGCTTTACAATACGCGTGCGACAACACTACTCTTCAGTACGCACGCGACAATGACAACAACAACGGTCTCTGGACGGTCTCTGCACGGGCCTGAGTTAAAACATCAATTTTTTAATGTTGAATGGAAAGATGTGTAGTAGTTCATTAAAAAACACCTCAATTGAGCCCAAACAACAGTTAAATTTAAAAATCTTATTAATATAAATGTTTGATATTTGAATACTGTAACAAAATAATCCGGTGTAGCAGACTGTCACGCAAGGCACGCCCTAAATCTGCGGTTGTTCACTTGTTTATTTTATTTTTTGACGCTCCAACCGATCATCAAACAAAATAGCTACATTTTCCATTTGATTTAATGACCAATATTCAACACCACACATGAAATATTTAATCTCAAATAAATCATACATTAACAAACCTAAAATAAATGTGATTTTCTTTAAAGTGTACTTTTAAATAGCTCATTACTTTACTTTTAAATATCACTGTTTGTTTTGTGCAATGTGTTCATTGTAATTAAAGGTCTGTTAATGAGATGGCATATGTCGAAGTTAGACCTAGTTTTTGAACACTTAACCTTGGGTATATTTTTATTTAAAAAGAAATTTTGTTTGGAATAATTTTGATGTATTTTTGCACTTACTTGCAAAATAAACAGAAGCATGAATTAGAGGTAAAATTAAGTGCATACAGGGCTAAAACAAAACCATGCGACCACATATATTTTGTCAGATTTTGTGAATAAAATAATATCTTGTGCGTTGATGAATAAATAAATATGTGAATAAATAAAATCTTGGCTACATTTGTCTTTATGATTAATGTTTATTTATTTATTTATTAATTTATTTGTGAAATAGGCATAGGTTAAATCAATAATTTACTTGAGCATAAAGCAGCAGCCAATAGCCTTACATAACATCATAATTTCACCTGTAGTGTTAATTTAAGACGTCGGTCCGCCAATAGTATCTGATCTGCTCCAAATTCACACACATATACATATAGGCTATATTTCATTTATAACACATCAAGCTTGACATCGCAGGCAGATCCGAACTAAAATGATTTAAAACCAAAATGCAAAAGGTGTACATGCTTTATAGGAATTTGTAAGTGATAGCAAATTTCATTCCGCAGCACTATTTATAATAGCCAAGAATGCTTGTGGTTGTGAAATTCTAAAGCAAAAGCGAAAAATGTTTTAACAAGTGGGCGCCATCGGTGTTCATAGTGCTCGAAAATCAGCATTAGAATTGTTGCATGTAACGGCTTCATTAAGGAGGATTTGAAAAAAACTCTGAGAGTCGATTCCAGCACTAAGTCCATTGAGAGTCAAGGAATCGACTCTTTTGGAGTCGACTTTTCATCCTAAAGGCAATCATAATGGAAACAGCTGATTACATGTATGTAATGTTTACTGCGTCAAAGTTTACTTGCCAAATGTTTTTCAATCTCCCATTAACCCTTTACAAATCTATTAACCCTTTACAAATCTAAAAATCACAGAAAAAAACAAGTAAAAGTTAAGTAAAAACCTTTTTTTGCAAATTAAGGGTTATTTCTCAGCTTGTTTCTCATGTGATACTTCAAAATGAGCATTAATAAAGGGTAATGGAAACCCAGCTACTTTCTGAGCTGAAGAATATCTCTCTTTGGCCAGATCTCTCCATCTTTCAAGTCATTTTCAGTCAGTCACTCACTGATCTTGTCTCCGCTAATATGGCTCTAACAAGTCTACAGCCTCACTCACATCCCATGGGCTCACTCAAAATATCTCCACTTCACTGCCATGCCAAGTCCCTCTGCCCTTAATCTTGGTCGGATGACTTTTGACAGAGCACATATTTAGACATTTAAAGTCATAGTTCAAAAAATGAAAACTCAATCATCATTGGCTCAACCTCATGTCATTCAGAGCTCATATGTGTAAAGTGTAAATAAAATCTGTTCATTATATACAGTGATTTTGTCTATTTTGATGTCTTGAATTAATTTGTTTGATTCATATGCATTTCTTTTTTAAAGAAATGTCTTTAGAAAGGGCGACATGGTGGCTCAGTGGTTATCACTGGTTTGGCAAACTAAACATACTACTGTAGTGTATGTGTGTGAATGAGTGGGTATGTTTCCCAATACTAAGTTGCAGCTGGAAAGGCATCTACTGTGTAAAACATAAGCTGGATAAGTTGGCGGTTCATTCCCCTGATGAATAAAGGGACTAAGCCAAAAGAAAATTAATGAATGAATGTCTTTAAAATGCTTTGAAGCACCAGCATTTTTTGCTGAATAAAATTACAATGAATGGACATAAATTTCTTATTAAGATTTGATTCAAATAAACCCTGTGACTCCAAACACAATACTGAAAAAGCATCTTTTATCTGTAGACTTTAGTTGTTCTTAGTTTTATGGCGCTTGTTAAATGTTTTGTGGTGCAGTTGATGTTTGTGTTTCTGTACTAGAAATTAATGATTGGTTGAAAAACTATATCTCCATTTGTGATCCAAAGTTTGGAATGACATGAGGAAAATGATGACACAATTTGCAACCCAGAGTGAAATAAAGGGAAATTTTACAGAATTTATTTTTATTTCCTTTTGAACTGATTCTCCTTTTGCAATTCAATTGGAATGTCATTTTAATTACTTGACCTACAGACTGTCTGTGATCAATACAGCTCTGCACATTAGTTTCTTGGATATGCGCCGTTCCATTTTATGTGAACAAACCTATCTATATTTCATAAACGTCAACAAGCAAACATATCAATTATAATTTGTGAAACATATAGCCTACAAAACTATGGCTAATGATTTGACAAATTTTTACTTGCCACAGCTAGTTTAAAACAATGGTTGTGAATATTTTTTATTTTATTTCTTGCACAAAGTAATTGTTTCACTTCTTAAAACCTCAGGTTGTCAGGAGCTTGTTTTGCCTGCACATTTACATTTTTTAAATCTAAGCTTTTTATGAATCATCAAATTCAGCCAAAAATATTTGTTGATGCGCTACTGAAATAAAGAATCACCTATACGTCAAGTAAATTAAAACAGCTAAATTTCATTTTTAGGTGAACTGACCCTTTAAAGGGGTGGTCCACAGTGTACTTTTAAGGCTTGGTTGTGTTTATAAGATGCAAAGCAATGTGTGCTCGTGCTTCACTTGTATGAAAATCACGTTATTTTTTTCATATATATTACTTTGACAATATACAGCTACTCAGCTAACATAAAAAATGACTGTCATATTTTCTAGTTCCTCTGAAAGGCCCACCTTCAAGAGGCTCTGATAGGTCAGCTAACATAATGTGCTGCTATTCGCGAATTGGTGCCACATCACTCAACTACAAGCACGCGCTTTTGCACTGTGTAAACAGTCAGTCAGAGCAGCTGTTAGCAGCATTAGCTGCCTGAATCAGACAGAAAAATAAAGAGCACACAGCTGAACCTCAAGCCTGCTTTCTAAATTAAAATCTGACAAGTGTCTTTCACATATATTCGGAATAAGCATGTGTAATATGAAACATTCTCATATCTTTTGTGAGTTTTTTATTTGAGATGTAGAACACATGGAAAGCAGCCGCATAGAGAGACACTGAAAACATCCGCAGAGAGAGTCACTGCACCCGCTGCTGAAGATTGTGGCCGTTTACAGCTGTTTGACTGATAAATATGAGTTTGTAGCTAAATTGTTAGCGGTGCCAAACAGCATTTCCCGTTGTTTACATGCTTGTTAACGTCCTCACTACAACCTACTGTTAACGCTAGAAACTGTGCATGTAATTGATCAATTTTAACAAATAAAAATACTTATAGGTTGTGGCTCACAATTCACAGCTTTGTCAGTTGGAGGGGTTTTTAGCCAAATCCAGCACTGAACTGAGATTCTGGAAGCTGTCCTTTGTCAAATGCTAGCTATATATTTTATATAATTCTCTGGAACTAAATTAAAATTAAACTGTATGCACTTCTCTCTTTGTGTCTTGTCCTTTGGAAGCCTAAATACAGAAACAGAAGAAGCTCTGTGAAAATAGCAGCGTTTGGACGCCATTTTATATTTCTCTGCTATACCATTACAGCACCTCTGGCCACGCCCCTTCGATGTGCAGGGTGTGTGCACGTGGTAAATGTGTCTCACTAGCCCGGATGTCCCCAAACTTTGTTCACTGTTGGCTTTGCTAAGCTAACTCGGTAAAAGTCAATGCCTTTGCGTTGAACTTTGAGCACATAGGGGGACTGGCTGTCTGGCAGACCGGGCAGTTTCCCGCTGGGCCGACGCACTTTTTGGGCCGGGCTGATCATCGTCTTAGTTCTGATCAGCCCATAAAAGGCTTATCGTTTTTTCTGCCTTATTAACAGACGATGCTGTGATCTGTTACTCTCTGAAAGTAAGATCCCTTTTTTTCGGACAGACAGACGGGGCCAGCCCATGTTAGACTCTGCAGCCCATTGGTTCTTTTCTTTGTTGACAGTGGGCTGGCCCAGTCACACACTCCTAGTATTTTGGGCTCTGTGTGAGTGTGCATCGTCTGTGTGTTTTTGTCAAAATAGTCCAGAGTCAGAGAGTAGAAACGGATGGGAGGAAAGAGAAATTGCGGGAAACACACTGGCGTTTCATTTAGCGGTTCTGTAAAGTTTTCCGTTCATTCTAGTACCCGGCTTAAAACGCAAATCACGTGACCACACACTCTCTGCCAAGAGCTGCACCCAGTAGTTCAGCGCAGGTGCTTTGAGCAAAAACCCCAGGTGAGAGTATAGTGCATGTCGGACAGTTCATCAAAGATCTACTGCTGGATCTCATCTCATCTCACTATAGTTGTTAAACGTGATATTGAATTCATCTTGTTGTCTCTATCTAACGACTCATCGGTCTTTTGAATCACTTGTTTTCCCAGGTAATTCTGTTTTGGCTGAGTGCAAGGATAAGCTAATATATTATTTTATGTAACCACGTACACTGATTCTGCACATTGATTGATTGCTTTATCGTATAACTTTATTGTACGTTATACTGTTATAATAACCATTATTGATTATTAAAACTGATATTCTGCAAAAGAGATGGGGTAAAGTTTGTTCCTTTCAATGAAAATGAAAGGAGGCAGTTATATTTAAGCCCTGTTTTGTTAAAAATATGCAGAGTGAAAATGACGCTCGTATAAATATGTAGCTACACAAGGCCGTTTGGTGTCTGTTAATCAGAATATCATAATTAAACAAATTTTCTTATATTAGGTTTTCATTATTAAGATAATGAAACAGCAAGCAGGATGAGGTGAATGAGGTTATAAAGTACACTGTTCACTTTGAAGATTTACTCATGCATCAGCAGGCAGTTTTTGTTATGTTTATTATTTAATATAGACTGAGTGAATAGTGTATTTAATAAGCTTAATTGGCTGTAGTGTATGAGTGTGTGCATGCGTGTGTGTGTGTGTGTGTGTGTGTGTGTGTGTGTGTGTGTGTGTGAATGAGTGAGTGTGTATGGGTGATTTCCGATACTGGGTTGTGGCTGGAAGGGCATCTGCTGCATAAAACATGCTGGAATAGTTGGCAGTTCATTCCACTGTGGCAACTCCTGATAAATAACGGACTAAGGCTAAGGAAAATAAATTAATGAATAGTGTATTTTTTTTAAGAACAAAAATGGACAATATACAAAAAATGAATTGAGATTAATATCTGATTTTATTTATTTAATATATATAGCTTTTGTGCTTTATAAAATAGGAGTTGATAAACATATTGGACATGCACAGATAGATGGCATTTTAATTGAATGTACTGGGCCACTCAGGCCAAAAATGCCAGGGGCGATTTTTTGCCCCAGTCCAGCCCTGTTTGAGTATATTATATTCAGAGATGTTGTTTATGTTCAGCAACATTACACATCAACTAAAGTTTAAAATATGATATCAATGTGGACCAACCCTTTAAGGTTTTAAAAAAGCACTCTGTGTTCATTGTAGTTTTATTACTGGCATAAGAGAAGCATTAAAATTCATTTCCTCGCAAAAAAAGAAAGTCTTGGAATGACTAGAGAGTGAATATGAATTATGACAGTATTCCATCTTTGACTGCAATACCCATTTAAAGGCATTTCTCTAAGCACAGAGCATACCTTTGCATGTCATACACACATGCCTACACACGTGTAACCCCTTACATCATTATAAGAGGTTTCATAACATGAGTGCTTTCTATGCGCATATTGAGCCTAAAGGCTTGGAGACGGTTATCCGGCTGGTTCATTGTGTGTGTCGGTCAGGAGGGATTGATTCCCACTTTTAGATGTGCTGAAAGTGGCTGGTGGCCAGAGCAAATTGAAATAGTGTGGCCCATTCTCTATTCCGTCTGAAGCATGGAGTCCAGCTCTCTGAGGAGCAGAGCCGCACACAGGGATGAAACAAGGGAGACGAGTATAAATCTGAACCCTATTCACAGCACCGCTTTCATCTCGCTGTGTGAAGAAGACCATTACCAGCTATTAGAAACACAGCACTGTTGCTAGATGATGCAGTTTTGTTTTTCACAGCGCGTCATTTTTATATTTTGGCCCATATAAGAGGCGATTTCTAGAGCATTTTTTATGTGTCAGATCTAATCACTGTGTTCCTGTGGGTGTGTGGATGAGTTTTAAAGTCCCTTTGAAATAATAATAATAAAAAAAATATCAAGCTTTAGGGGAATTAACCCCCAATAAATCCCGACTGAAATTGGTCCTTTATGGCCTGTTTCCACAGAGTGGGACAGTACAGTTCAGTACGCTTTTATGTCCGTTCCACTGTCATATGGCCCGCTTCCTCTGAGTGGTACGGTACGGTTTGGTTCAGTACACTTTTATTTTAATTTCCACTTCAAAAAGTACCAAAAAGCAAACTGTACCGTACCACGTTTTGGGTACCCAACAAAAGGGTACCAAAAGGTAGCTGTTCGCTATTGGTTTAGAAAAGTCACTGGTGTGTGCACCAGCCTAGAGAATGAAAACATAGAAAGCCACATTTTTAATAATACAGCTGATATATTGCACCGTAATAATATAAACATTTAATAATGAGCAATAACAAAAACAAAAAAACAAAGCAGGAAATTATTCTTTCAGCAACCTAAAACATGAACAAACTGCCATAATTAATTATTATCGTCGACTTTTGGACTATTATGAACTCGGAATGACACAAAGAATTCCTAACAGGATGCATATATATATACATACATATAATATAGGAAAACGGCCAGTTTTATTTGTCACAAATATTAAAAACTTAGTTATTGCCTTTATAATAGAAAATATGAGCTAGACATCATGTATGACAGTTGTCAAGGTGAGCTATATAGGAGACATCTTGCATGTACATATAGGGCTTATAATATGAATATTAAAAAAAGCAATACAGGAGACCTACAGCCCCCCTTTAATTTTTTTTTCTTTTTTAAATATTTCTCAAATGAAGTTTAACAGAGCAAGGAAATTTTCACAGTATGTCTGATAATATTTTTCTTCTGGAGAAAGTCTTATTTGTTTTATTTCGGCTAGAATAGTTTTAGAGCAGTTTTCGTTTTTTTAAAAACCATTTTAAGGTCAAAATTATTAGCCCCTTTAAGCTAAACATTTTGTGATAGCCTACAGAACAAACCATCATTATACAATAACCTGCCTAATTACCCTAACCTGCCTCGTTAAACTAATTAACCTAGTTAAGCCTTTAAATGTCACTTTAAGCTGTATTGAAGTGTCTTGAAAATGTCTAGTAAAATATTATTTACTGTCATCATGGCAAAGATAAAATAAATCAGTTATAAGAAATGAGTTATTAAAACTATGATGTTTAGAAATGTGTTAAAAAAATATTCTCTCCGTTAAACAGAAATTGGGGAAAAATTTAAACAGGGAGGCTTACAATTCAACTGTATATGGCCTGTATATGTACATATATGTGCCTTAATTTTGCCTATATGTGACATAAATACACACATATGTGTATATATAGGTTTCATATTTGTCCATATATCCTTATTTTGGTAGGACAGAACTACAGTCGCATATGCACAGAGATCTGTTTGACAAAACTGACATAAAAACACGTTTGGACTGAGCCCCAACCCCAGATATTCTTAAAGTCTTTAGCAACCAATAATTAACTTCTTTACTTAAAAGCGAGTCTTCCTTTACTAAAGCGGCCATATTGACCACTACATTTTTTTCCATTCAAAACTATACGAGTGGCAGGTCTTTTGTATTGCATAATGTTTGATGAAATCGGGATTCTCGTTAATGTCACACAAACTATTGCAGCATGAACACACACAGTCTGCTTTAGCCAGGAGACACAATAACAGAGTATATCATATACATGACTTGACACATATCACAAAACATATCAGATCCATCTGAATACAGCAGTGAATGGTGCATTTTAATGCACAGAAACAGACAGACTCAACATAACTATTATAGACTGTGGCTGTCAGTAGTTAGACACACTTTACCTCAACAACTTTTACTGGGAGAGCTGAGATTAGAACTAAATTCAGCTGACTGTTTTTTTAAAAAAGGCAAGGAGCTAGTGAATATTCCAAACCCTCTTCAGGTTTCAATTAAAATTACATCACAATAAATGCTCATTTTGAGGCATTCCAGGCGATGTTTAATCACCTGTGTTGCTCTGGATGATTCATTTGCTGCAAAATTTTTGGGTGCTAATGCTGTTGTGAGCCATTTTTAACCATGGAGGGCAAAGCTTCCCTCCGGACGTGCGTGTCTTTAGGGATAATGAGCAACCAACTGAGCTTTAATTCTGACACCTGCCTGCCTACATTTATTTCATTGTCCCCGAGTTAAAAATAGATGCAGCATTCCTGTTCTGCTGGAGAACAGCTGAACAATATAATTAGATTTACTGTTATATTGTTCACTCTCACTATCGAGTTAAGGCACCCTTGATGGATAATAGCATACGGTTATTATAAAAATGAGGGGAAGATTTACAATCAGGTGGTTATTATTACACAAATAAACTTTAATACTCTTGTATCAGGATAAATTGGCTTGGTAAGGATCGTCATCAATACACATTCTTCTTCTGTGTAAACAATAAAGCATTTTAAGAAGAAAAAGAATAGCGTTAATAGAAATGCTTAGAAAGCATCAATAGAATTTTTAAAAATATTAGATTACTCAGTGTTTTCGTTTTTTTCTTTAAATTCCTCTGTGAACAATATGTGGTCTTTGGTTTTAAAAGTGTCATATCAAGGGCTTTTCACTGCAGAGAAAGCTGAAATGCCAATGCTGATATAAATCATACATTGCATCTAAATGAATAGGATTAGCAGGAACAGTGCATTCACATGCAAATAATGTTTCAACATTTTCATGCACCATCACAACACAGTGCTTCAACATCACTTTGATTGCACAAGACCTTTCTGTCCTGCTCTTTATGCTTCTAATTAAAATCTACAAAGTAGATCATGCTTGCCAGACTCCTGCAGAAAGATGCTTTGTACAGATGGTTTATGTTTGTAGTATTTTAATGTTTGTAATAAGAGATTCAGTAACATAATTGCTTTATATGATTGACAGATTTAATTTGGGCTTTTATTCACATATGAACATCAATCAGCCTAAGAAAGAAAATGTTACTCAGAAAACTAAGACACCAGTTAGAGGCACAGCTATTACTGGAGTATATTTTACAATAATATTATTTGACTGATTCAAAGTGTTTCTTGACATTACTTGTAAAATTTTTAGAAGTTAAGTTTCGAGATTTATAATTTAGGATTAGGGTTATTATATTAACAGATTTGGATCTACACTGTTTTTTTTTTTTTTTGCAGAAGCTTTTTAGCTAATCTTTAATATATTAAAATTTGTAACAATATTTATAATTTAGGTTCCAGATTAATATTAAAATAATAAATACATAAATAATAAAATAGATAGATACAAAATGTTTATAAACATAAATAATAAATTATTATTAAAAATGTATTTATGTGTTATTTTAAACTTAATAGTAAATGCACTCATTTAACTAATTTTCACATATATGTATTTTTTCTTTTATTATTATCTATTAATTATTGTAAACAGTCATAAGTAATAGGGTTATTTAACTAAAACCATAAAACTAAAAATGTGCTAAAATAAATTCTTTTAAAAAATGTAAAATCTATTAAAATGTATAAAAACATACAATTACAACAAGACCTTTACAACAACGTTACCTAAAATAATATACAAATTGAATTAAAATAAATTTTAAAATTGAGTCCAGATTAAAATCTGAGTCCTTTATTTGAGAAAGGAGGCATACCTCAGGGCTCAGTATTAGGTCCACTTGTCTTTTATATTTTTAGCAAATAGAAAAGAGAAGTTTTCTCTTTAAGTCTTCAATTTTAACTATTCTGGTAATCTCTTGAATCTAATTCAAAACATACTTTTATAATATTTTAATTGTTCTGCAAAACTGGCTTTGTCTGGCTATAAGATAAATTAATGATATGAAATGCTTTAAATTTTTAACATATATTGACCACTTTTTAAATTATTTAAAAAATATATATATTAAAACAAAATAATGTATGAGCCGAGCATCTGAACAAAAGCCATAGGGGAGAGCAGGGCACAAAGTAACACTCTTTGGTTTTGGCCAAATAATAAACAAAGTAATAGGGTTATGCAAAGCCTCTCCTACAAACAAGCACTGAAAGTATGATCGCCAGACCTATGGTTTCTGTGCAGTATTGTCAAAAGTGCTAGGAGTAAAAATGTTACTATCCCACTTGTGGTGCAAGTTGTAATAGACAGAAGGTTAGTTGCAACATGATTAAAAAGTCAGATTTCACAAATTTAGTTTAAATACAGTTTACTTTAAATTGTACATTTCCTTTGTACTTAATTCAATTTTTTAAATTCTACTTAGCACAGCATTTTCATTTATCCATAGGATAAACACATTTGGATTTATTTACATAGCCAGTTTTCCTCAAAACTGGCTAGCAGTCACTGTGTATTATTTACATCTTTCAAAATGGTTCAATCTTTAAGTCTAGTAGATGGTAATCACAACAATATAAGGTTTTATGTACATGCTTTCACAGATTTCTTTTTAAATGAAAAATATCGAAATTTCACCAAACTTTTTCAATAATTGGCAGGGAAAAGTATGTCATGGCTAACCCTAAACAAATTCCATGAATTTTTTTTTCATTTTACACTGTGCTACATTTTGCCCCGCGCTCCCCTAACTATTTCAAGAGTTCACACTAAGCTGATGATTGATTATAAAGCTTGTTTGACATGCTGTCTTGGGAGAGAGCCCTGAGCTCATAAGACCCTCGAACCAGGCGCTCCCTCCCGTTTGCAAGGTGAGAGGGGAGTTTAAGGTCAGGTACATCTCGAGAACTCCCCTGCTGTAGTAGCTAATAAACAGATAGTGATTGCTCTTAAAAGACAACTATTTACTAGGCGCATGTTTATGGTGCAGATTTGGATTATAGTCAATTTACGTAATTTGGATGTTTTTTGACGTTGGGAGGAAACTGGGGAACCCGGGGAAACCCACATGAGCACAGGGAGAACGTGTATACTCCGCACAGAAACGTCGACTGGCTTGGTACGGACTAGAACCAGTGACGATCTTGCTGTGAGGCAACAGTGCTAACCACTGGGCCACAGTGCCACCCATCTAGGAAAAGAGGAGACGTAGGGGTGGAAGGGGGTATTCTTCAAAATGAAGATGGCTGTCATATGGAACTTGGGGTATTTATAGTGGCTTAGGAATCGTCTGATTGGTGAATCATAAATTGAATAATGTGGGGCCGGCTGTAAGCAATCAAAAGCACATGATCCTCTCGAAATTAGTTTATAAATAAACTTCACTTAATTCTCAAAACAAGTAATTTGTTATGTGTGAATAAATGTTACTTTTAATGTTCCCCTTGCCTCCTCTGACAAGCTGTCACTGAATCTGATGTGTGTATAACTTCCGTAGGATATTTATCAGTCATCTATTCCTGATATTGATGGTTTCGGTCATTTAGGACTCCCAGTATCCAGGGCAGACTAATCAGAAGCTAATAATGAGAAGAGCATCTGTGTTGTGTTTTTTTTTTTTTTTTTTTTTTTGTCTGGATTGCAGACAGGGGCCACTGAAGCCAGAGGTTCTGCCCATTCAGTGGTCCGGAAGGAGATCTAATCGAAGACTTCAAAGGAATAACAGCTTGTCTCCGAACAACCCGCTCCTCAACCTTGTCAATTCAGGTGATTATTCTCAGCCTCAGACCTCTAGAGGACCGAAAGGCCACATACACACACACACAGTGGCGAAGCAGATGACAGCAGATCTGGAGACAGATTTAGATGGGGCGGATTGTATGAAAACATTGGTATAGACTGCAGGGTAAGAATATAGCTGGTAGACATTTAGAAAATAAATGAGTAATAAAGTAAAATTAATATTGGAGTAAAAGAGTGTATTTCACACATGATAATCTATAATATATTTTATTCATTTTAGTAGATTTTATTCATGCCTGCTTTGAATTTTGGATGCATACAATCATTGGTAGCTTTATTAGGTAAAACTTGCTTGTACCATGTTGTACTTCGTTTTGCTTTAAAGGTAAAGCTTACCTAAAAGATGAAAATGTACTCACTATTTCCTCAACCTTTAAGTCGTTCCAGCTCTTTAAGAGTTTATTCCTCCTGTTGCTGTTTCTTTTATAGGTCTGAAAACTTGTAACTATTGACATTAATGCAACACAAACTCATTGGGAATATGTGCCCAGAGCTACATTTTTGAGAACCGAGAAATATGTACTCAATTAGGGTATAACGGTACACTGAAGTCACACTTCAATATGTACCTTGGGGTCATGGTTCAATACGGATACGATACAACAGGAATATGCAACAAATCCCCAGTGCTTGCTTTTTCTGTTTATTTTGAACTGACTTGGAGGTCCATCTATAACAGCGGTTGCAGTGGAAAACAACTGTTCAATCTTGTGCATGTGTAGAGAAAAACAACTCAATGCTTTTTCAATGTAAACAATGTTTTGTGTGTTAAACTATTGCTATGGGGCAGTAATGCTGACTGCTTACCTTAGTATGGACCGCTTTTCCTGCATAACTGGTTTGCTCAGCTTGCTACGTATGGTGTCAGACTTGGGAGGCAGAGTGGACCTTGTTTTATTTGCAAATATGTGCCCAGGGCTGCATTTTTGAGAACCAAGAAATATATGCCCCAGGATACGTAATGGCTGTGTTTTGCATGTAAAACGAATTATACTAGGCAGTATCGCTGCACTGTTAACCCCGTTGTTGTCAAAACTAAAGATATTAAGTTAATATAACTTGACATTACTTAAAATACCAAGTTTTGGCATCAAAACTTAAACAGATGTGCTTAACTCACTCATTAGGCAGCAAAAAAATGTCATTAATATTTTAAGTTCTCTGAACTTAACATTTTAATTTC